TTTAGTGTCTCATTTGAGCAAGTTTGACCAAGTCAAATTTGGTCAAATGAAAAAACAACACTTTGACTCTAGTATTATGAACTCTAAATGATTTCAAATTGAAAAGTTTTGAATACCAAGTTTGTTCAACTCATCAAGATCTACAATTCTTGTTTTGCTCAACTTTCCATTTGAGATAGTTTGGACGGTTCAAATTTGTGATTTTTAAATTTCGATGCTTACAAACTAGTTTTCGGAACCCTAGATTGTCTCAAATTGAAAAGTTTTGAATACCAAGTTTGTTCAGCTCATCAAGATCTGCAATCCTTATATAGGCTATTTTTTAATTTGAGAAAGTTTGAACAAAATGTAGTTCAAAATTCACAAGTGTGTGACATAGTTTCAGAAAGTCTATGAGATTCAAGAATTTGTGACTAGTGTTTGATAAAACTTTCTCAAATGGGAAAATGAGCTATGTAACAATTGTATATCTTGCTGAGATGATCAAACTTGGTATTCAGAGTTTTTTCATCTAAGGTCATTTAGTGTCTCATTTGAGCAAGTTTGACCAAGTCAAATTTGGTCAAATGAAAAAACAACACTTGACTCTAGTATTATGAACTCTAAATGACTTCAAATTGAAAAGTTTTGAATACCAAGTTTGTTCAACTCATCAAGATCTACAATTGTTGTTTTGGTCAATTTTCCATTTGAGATAGTTTGGACGGTTCAAATTTGTGATTTTTAAATTTCGACGTTTACAAACTAGTTTTCGGAACCCTAGATTGTCTCAAATTGAAAAGTTTTGAATACCAAATTTGTTCATCTCATCAAGATATACAATCCTTATATAGGACATTTTTTAATTTGAGAAAGTTTAAACAAAATATAGTTCAAATTTCATAAGTGTGTGACATAGTTTCAGAAGGTCTATATGAGATTCAAGAATTTGTGACTAGTTTTGATAAAACTTTCTCAAATGGAAAAATGAGCTATGTAAAAATTGTAGATCTTGCTGAGATGATCAAACTTGGTATTCAGAGTTTTTTCATCTGAGGTCATTTAGTGTCTCATTTGAGTAAGTTTGACCAAGTCAAATTTGGTCAAATGAAAAAACAACACTTTGACTTTAGTATTATGAACTCTAAATGACTTCAAATTGAAAAGTTTTGAATACCAAGTTTGTTCAACTCATCAAGATCTACAATTGTTGTTTTGGTCAACTTTCCATTTGAGATAGTTTGGATGGTTCAAATTTGTGATTTTTAAATTTTGACGCCTATAATCTAGTTTTCCATTTGAGAAAGTTTGGACGGTTTAAATTTTGAAGCACTAAATGATTTCAAACGAAAAAGTTGTAAACAACAAAGTTTCATAACTTTTTGAGATCTACAATTTTTATTTTGATCATTTCTCCATCCAAGGTCGTTTGAATAATATCCGGATAATATCCATTTTTAAATATCCGGATATATCCGATACTTAACCGGATTATCCGATATCCGCCGGATATCGATGATATTACATCCGTATTTGATATCCGCCTAAGATATCTGTTTTAGTATCTGTATCCGAAAAAAATTACGGATATCCGAGTAACTATCCAGATAAATGTTCATATTTGTTCGGTCGAACGGACGGTCGAATAAATATCCGTACCGTTTTCATCCATACTAACAGATGACTCGTATGGACACCCAAACCCAAAATGGATCTTGGATAGTAATATATCAACCTCCAACACATTACCTATATGCGAGACCTATTTTAGGTTATAGTTGAGGTACAACTCAAATATGAGTATTCTCTCTCCTGAAAATTTATTTACAGAAAAAGTTTTCTTTTAAGTCATGTTATTTGAGAAGACCAAAAATAGATATCAAATCCTTTACCTATAGCGCTACCTAAACGTGAAATGAGTTTTGTATTTTAGATGATGTTGCTGGAGATACTCTTACAAGGGGGTTTGTATTACTAGTATTTGCGAGACATAAGGACCCATTTATCATTATTTCGGATACACTATTTCGTTATTTCACTTCTCATTCACGCTACAAAAGTACAAAATGAAAATACTCTCAGCCAGTCAGCCTGGTGTCAATGGACCATAATTTACCCGCAAAAAAAATGGGCCATAATCATAGGAAAGCATTTCACACCATGCCGAGCTGGCTCGCCACGTCACCGATCCGCGCCTCCGAACTCCCAGCCAATCACAGCGCGCCTCCCACTAGAACCCTAACAGTATAAAATCGCAGGCGCCGCCCACCCCTCTCACCAATACCGCCTCGTTCTCCACCGCGCCCCCAACCTCGAAGAGTTCGGAAGTTTCCAGGCCCCCAAAGGCGAACCGGCGATGAGTTCCACCGGAGGCGGCGGCCGCGGGAAGGCGAAGCCAGCGACCAAGTCTGTGTCGCGGTCCTCCAAGGCTGGGCTCCAGTTCCCCGTCGGCCGCATCGCGCGGTACCTCAAGGCCGGCAAGTACGCGGAGCGCGTCGGCGCCGGGGCCCCCGTTTACCTCTCCGCCGTCCTCGAGTACCTCGCCGCCGAGGTAATCCCCCGAGCCCTCTTCCTCCCTTTTTACCAGATCCGATCTCGTTGTTTGAATCTCCGTTGTGAATGTATTGTTTCGTTGGTTTTCGCAGGTGCTGGAGTTGGCCGGAAACGCTGCTCGGGACAACAAGAAGAACCGGATCGTGCCGCGCCACATCCAGCTGGCGGTTCGGAACGACGAGGAGCTGAGCAAGCTGCTGGGCACTGTGACGATCGCGGCCGGCGGCGTGATGCCCAACATCCACTCGACTCTGCTGCCCAAGAAGGCTGGTCACAAGGGGGACATCGGCTCCGCCTCCCAGGAGTTTTGAGCTCGTCGGCGGAAGGAGGAGAGAGACCGTCCCTGCCTCTGTCTTGTCCGCGTGGTGATGTTTCAGCTTTGCGGTTTTTGGGGTGTTGTCGACGAGTTGGGACTGTTGGGGGTTTGTGGGATGTAAACAAACGCAGCGCGTTGTTTTATGAATCAATGGATGAATATAAGAGTATTATTATCATGATTTCCTCTCTCTTGCATTTGAATTCGATCAATGGATGAATATAAGAGTATTTATCATGATTTCCTCTCTTCTTGCATTTGAATTCGATTTATTTATCCTACCGAATGACGCATTGTATCAAATTGTATGAAACCTGATGATGGAACTGTTTGGATTGGTTCCGTGAACTCTGCATCCTCTGGTTTTGGGCTTCCAGTAGAAGTTGGGGTCGATCTTGAACTTCACCGGATGATGATCGGACTGGTTCAACTGTTCGTATGGGTTCTCATTGCGAGCTCTAAAATCTGCAAATGTATCTACTGTTAACTGCTTCAACTGTTTGTACGGGTTCTTGTTGCGAGGTTCTGAAATCTGCAAATGTATCTTCTGTTAACTTATGTTTCTTGTTGTGAGGTTCTGAAATCTGCAAATGTATCTTCTGTTAACTTCTGTTTCCTTTAGCATTGCCGAAGATGCAAGAGACCGACGTGTAGTGTACTCTTGGGCAATAGGCCTCGCCCTTCCCTTGTGTCTTGTGCAGGAGTTTCTGATGAGTCTGCACTTAAGATCAGACTGTTCAGTGCCTGCAAATGGGACTGACTGTTCTGCTTAGGTATCCCGTCTTGCCCTGAAAGCTTCTTAAGATCAGACTGATCAGCTGGAAATGGGACACGAAAGCTTCCTGCAAATGGGACCCGAAAGCTTCTTAAAGATCAGAATGATCAGTGCCTGCAAAGCTTCTTAAGATCAGAATGACCATGCCCCGTTCGCTTCGCTGAAAAAACAAGCTGAACACTGTTCTGTCTGATTTGTTGTGAGAGAAAAACACTGTTCCGGCTGAAAAAACAAGCTGAAAAGTACGGATTATAAGAGAAGCGAACCGGGCCAATATGCAGCCTGTTCGGGAGGCCGTATCGTATCGTGGATTATTTACTGCTGGCTGGCTGGAAATTTACGATCGTTTACGAGCAAGCGAACAGGCTGATGGTTGTTCTGCTCTATGCAGTCAGGGTGATCGTGATTCCTTTTGCTTTTTGCTAAAACGGCTTCCCTATTTGTAACGTTGTTCACGATCCTTTTGCCTTTGTGCTAAAACAGCAGGTCTACAGCAGGATACTAGTACTCTTACAACGTTATAAGCATTTCTTGAAAGTGATGTAGGGAACGCGCGACGAAATGGCTTGTCCCTGAATCCCTTTCTCTGATTGTGCCTGAAAGCGATGCATGTTGTCTCGGTCTGACGATGAGGGACTGAAAGGAGCCATCAGCTATGGGTGCAGGCTGGGCCATATGTGCCATGTATGCGTATGTTGGATCATGGGCCTTGTTATGTTGAGACCAACTGCTATACACAATACACTGATAGCCTCGTGCCGGCGTAAAAACCAGGAGCCCCTCCTCTCTGCTCTCTCCAGTTCCCCTTTCGCTCGCCCGAGAAGTGCTGTTTGCTTACGCAAATGGAATCGTTCCTCCGCTGGAATGGAAAGGGAATAGTTGATTATGTGTTTTGTTTGGGCCACGCTAATAGAACGAGCGGGAGTGGAATGGTCTGCCCATCCATTCGGACGTAAACGACATACAGTGTGAGATGGATTACCCTGCTACTGGATCCCGTTGGTGATGAAACAAACATAAAGTACCGCCATCAGATTACATTGTAATCGGTTCACATCCATGAATTATTGAACCAAACAGCACCAGCCGAATCATACCGCCGACGTGACGTCGGTGAACGGTGAGTTACCTGTATCGTGACAGTTCTATGCAGTTCTTTACATTCCACAATCTCGAAAACTTATCAATTCTGATTGTTTGCTTCAAATGATTACACCATTCTCTCTGCTGGTCAACACAAGAGAGGTTGGAATACTTCTATCCGATTGCCAGATGTAATGCTACCCATAATAAATAAATAAAATATCATAACAAAATTCGTTGCATTAGCGGAAACCGTTACCACTAGTCCAGCTTACTCTGCGCGTGGTGCTATCATCAGTTCTTCGAGTTGAGAATGTTGGCCCTCATGGCCTCTAGCTCCGCCATATTCTCGATGGCGCCAGAGAAAGACGGCTCCGGGATCGGCTCCTCCACCATCTGCGACAGCCTCACGAGGCTCCTGGTGGCCAGCACCGCGCGCGCGTCCACCGTCTCGGTGGCCCTCCAGTACAGGCACTCCGCGGCGCGGGCGGCCTGCGCCTTCAGCTCGTCCGAGCCTGTGGGGCCCAGCAGGCAGTGCGCCACGATCTGCAGCACCGGCTGGAAGAGCTCCCACGGCAGTGGCACCCGCCGCCATTTCTCCGCGCCGCCGCCGGCGGCGTCGCGGGCGGGCGGGAGGCGCTGCTTGTCGGCGCCGTCCAGCTTGCTGTGCGTCCCCGCCCAGGCGACACAGAACTCGCAGAAGTCCATCTTGGACGAGAGCGGCATGTGCGCGAGCTTCCCGTGGTAGAGCTGCAGGACCGCGCCGACGATGCGGGCGCGTCGGGTGGCGCGCACGGTGCCGTGCGGCTCCAGCGGCGGGGAGAGCACGGCGACGTCGAGCTCGGCGGGCTTGGCCTTGGGCGGCACCTTGGCGTCGTGGTACGGGCTCGGGTTCGCCAGGTTCGGGAGCGACACGGTCTCGGCCTCCCCGGCGCCACGCTGCGCCGCGGCGTGCGCGTACAGCACCAGGAACACGGCCTCGAACCCGGCCAGCGGCTTCCGGGACACGGCGCGGCACAGGTACACCCCAGCCAGCGTCGGCACGAACCGCAGCACCGCGAGCTGGAGCTCGGGGACGTTGGACCGGAACGCGTCGTAGAGCCAGCGGCAGAGGCTGTCGTTCCCTGCGCCCGACCCGGATCCGCGGAGGCGTCCCGAAACGGCGCTGGCCACGTCGGGGTCGCTGAGGAGCGCGGCCGCGGGGTCGTCGGCCGCGGCGATGGAGCCCGGGAGCGCGCCCCCGAGGATGCCCGCGAGGGCGTCCAAGGCGTCCTTCGTGCTGTGGATGGGCGGCGGCGCGTCGTTCGGCATCGTGGCGGTCAACGGCGCAGAGAGGAGCTGGCCCGAGGATGAGGAGGCAAGCGCGATCGCGTGTGGCGTGGCCTCGACGACGTACTGGAAGGGAAGGTGGAGAGAACGGAGAGGATCACTGGGTCAGGGATTCAGAGAATTGAGCGGGTGCGCTACGTTTCAGCTTTTTGACCCGCCATGCTCGTCAGGAGACGAGAGCGAATTGAGGAGGGCGTTTGGCGACGGTGTGCATGTCTGCATGCAGCGTTGAGACTTGCAAAGGAAAAGAACTGCATCACTGCAAATCTGCAATGCAAATTTAGTTTGGAGCATCTTCGGATTGGTTAAATTTGATCAAAATTTGTACCAAATAAGCCTACGTTCAGTGGCGGATCCAGAAACGGACTCCGCCCCGGGCTAACTAATATAAGGCTTAAAATCTGAGTAGCCATACACTATATATAACATATTTTTCAAAGAACATAAATAATTATATAATTTCCTAGATTCCAAGTGTTCGACCAATAGACTCAAACAATACGTAGAATATTGAAGGTAGAAAAGTACCAAATTAAGAGTCTTCATGATTTAACACCACTTCCACTTGTACCGACATCCTCAATTCTACATAAAATTTTTCAACATCTCAGCCCTTTATAAAGCAAGATAACATTATGTATTGAAATAGACTAATACAATTAAACGACACGCACCTTGAGCCCTCGTTTGGCAAATTCATCTTACAGTTTCATAAGCCTTGAAAGTGCTTTAGAATTTTTTCATCTTCAATAGACGCAAACAAATCCCGCTCAATATAGCACATCATGCTACTATTCAGCCAATCATCATTCATTTTATTTCTTCGTTCGGTCTTGATAATATTCATAGCAGAGGAGTCTCTTTCAACTGTTGTTGTTGCCACCGGCAAAATCAATGCAAGTTCAATGAGACGATACACCAAAGGAAAAGCTGTATGTCTTTTAGTCCGAACAATCTTCTCAGCAAGGTTACCAAGATCAGTACAAGTGTCAAAATTATCATCATTTCTGACTTCATCAATGAATATACGAAAGTCGCCCGCAAGCTTTATGCAGTCATAATCACAGAAGTCATCTTTATAAATCTTAGCAAGCTCAACTAACTTCTGTACCTCAAAGTTGGCAAAAGAATCCCTCGGATCAAGACAAGCAACACATCTTAAGAGTTGAGTTGATCTTTCTGAAAATCGATTGTTTAACTCATAATAAATTTGATCAATCACAACATTGAAAATTCCATGATGAAAATAATGGTAGTAACTCACTAATTTAGCACCACGACGTCTCGAACGACCTCTAACTGGTATCGTATCTTCCATATTAGGAATATCTATGTTGTTGAGGAGGCAAAACTCCTTTACCTCTTCAAAAAGAGCATCCCAACCATTTTTCCTCATTTCATTCATATTTCTCATCACAAGGCCAATTAATCCTATTGCACGAACAATGTTTTGATTTTTTTTTGCAAACATTGTGACAGGTCTTGAGTCATCCCCAATACTCTGATTATAAGATGTAATATGAACACAAATTCAAATGACTCCATTCTTTGAATCAATCCAGAGGCTGTAGTTTTCTTTTCTCCATCAGTTCCATCTTCACTAATATTCTCTAACACCTCCAGTACAGAGGACCACATGATAATAAGACGTGCCAATGTTTTGTGATGTGTACCCCACCATGTATCACCATTTGTTCCTTAATAGATGCATCACGAACTTCATCGACAAGCACCGTAAACCAACGATCTCCTATTTCACTTTTAATTAACTCACTTGTCTCCTCTACACAAGCCCTAGCCAAATCTTTCTGAACCATTGGACTACTCATTTGATTATTCCCTGGAGCATTTTCACCGGTCACAAGGGCAGCCTTAGGATCCTTCTTTTTGTACCATTCAAGCATCTCCATAAAGTTCCCTTTATTTCTTGATGTTTTAGACTCATCATGTCCACGAAAGGCTAGAGCTTGCAAAAGGAGAAATCTAGCAATGCCTAACATGATAGTTAAACGAGCTTTATATGCCTCCTCTTCTGCTGCACTTGTAACAGTCCACACATGTTCAACATTTTGCCTCTGATTTTTGAAATAAAGTGCACGCTTTCTTGCGTTACTATGAAAGCCATAAATTGATTGAGCATGCTCCTTGAAAGAATCCTTTGCATTCTTTCAATTTCTAAACCCAACTTTGGTGAATGTATCATTACTATGAAACCCAGCTTGTTGTGGCTTAAAGAGATAGTAATAAAAGCAATAAGCTGCATCCTTGGCTACATTGTACTCTAACCAATTAAATTGATCAAACCATGATCCAACAAATCCTCTTGATTGGCCTTTACCATCTTTTTTTGTTTTTGGAAACTTAAGACCAGCTGGCCTATATGGACCTATTTGTAGATATGCTCTCCTTGCCTCATCCCTAATGTCATGATGAAAATCATCAATTGGCTTCCTATCTCCTGGATTAGCAACTATATCTCTCATATCAAGTTCAATCCGTGGTCTTTTTTGCTCAACCCGGCTCTCTATAGTTTCGGCACTACTCTTTTTAGCATAGTATTTCTCCATTCTAAGGTATGAAATGTTGCAATTGCAAACTAAGACTCAAATACTCAATGACAGTCCTGCTCAATGAAATGAAGTATTCATTACTTTGCAATGTAAAAGGTAGCAATCATGGAGCAATTTCAAAAAGAAATGGCATATGTCATCTGACCTGCTGCAGTGGCGGAGCAATTTCAGTAGGGGGCCGGCGTGGGGGCGCCGCGCGCGGCCGGCGGGGCGGCGGGGGGTGAGCCGGTGAGGGGCTGACCGGCGAGGAGGTCAGGCGGGTAGGCAGCGACCTAGCGCGCGCTGCCGGCGGGGGCGCGGCGTGCGGCCGGCGGGGAGCCAGGGACTTGGGGGCTTGGGGCGGTCGGGAGTCGGGACGAGAGGGCGAGGCTGAAGGCGGATGAGAAGGGAGGCGGACGGGAGCCGACCGAGTGCGATTGTGCGACGGGAGCTAGGCTAGGGCGACGACCAGTTGCTGGGCTGACTTCGCCTCGGGGTGGGCTAATGGGCCGGGCAGTCTTTTATGCCATTTTTATGAATGAACTTCCCACTGCTCTTGGGCCTCGCCCCGTGCTGCAGCCCGGGGCCCAAATCATCCCCTGCCTACGTTCTTAACAGATTTCGGTGATTAGTTGTTCTCGGATTAACCTAGAGGTTTCGTCCAAGCCCATCGTTTCCGGTTTTCACCGGACCGTTCAAATTATTTTTTGAAGGAATAACTGTTTTTTAAAGATCCTCCTACCCAAAAGAACTATCGTCAGCGTTGCTGAACCAACTACAACAACGTTCCTGGGCTAAAAAAAAATATTAAGAGCATGTCGAAAAGTTAGCCGCAGTCATTTAAATAAAAAGTGTTTTCTATATCTTTTATCTGCCAGTAGCTTCGTATTTATTACTACAAAATTTACCTCAGTCTTGTTTAGTTCCTCCCAAAAGTGTACATCATATCCCATCGAATATTTAGACATATGTACAGATTATTAAATGTAGAATAAAAAATAACTACTTGCACAGATTACGACTACTTTACAAGATGAATCTTTTAAGTCTAACTAGTCCATGATTTGATAATAAAAGTGCTACAGTAACAAATAGGCTAATGACGGATTAATTAAGCTTAATAAATTCGTCTCGCGGTTTACTGACGGATTCTATAATTTATTTTTTATTAGTATCTGAACAACTTATACGACAGCATTGTATAACACCTGATATAATAAAAAAAACTTTACACCCTAGAGCTAGTCAAGCCTCAATACAGAAGCAACGACGGACCCACGGTCCCGCGACCCTCGACACCTGCCCAGGCACCGGCGCCCACGCATGCTGGAGCTTTTCTTGTAGCACCCTCTACGCAAACTTCAAGACACACACTCTTATATAACTAGACGATACCCGCGTGTTGCCCGGGGATTTTGTAGCATTGACATGAGCACGATAATAGAAATATTTCTTTGTTTCTTCGTGATTGTAGCTTGAAATACTGATAAAAAATAATGATCCATCTTCGGTACAGGCTAACCGAACGCAGCGTTTTGAATGCCTATCAATCAAATACATATCTTGATAAAGAAAATACGCGTACATGGTATGTACATATAACAAAAGATGAAGGCATCTAACTACTCACATGTAACCTATAAAAGCACTTATGCGGTTTCTTAGGTAAATGTCTTGGCCTCCAGAATACCACAATTGTTCTTTAAAATTTGTTAAAAAAAGCATACATATAGACTGCGTAATTCGCAATAAAAAAGATAGATAACTGATATAGGGAATCAGTTGTGGGACCCATTCGAAGAAAACCACCGCACGTCATTATCAAATATGTTCCATCTCACATTAAAATAAAACTATCCCCCATATAAAATAAGAAAAAAAAAAATCGGCCACCACATTTACCTCGCGCCGCTTATTCGTCTTCCGCCTAGCACAGAACGGCCCGTTCCGCATCGGACCTCTGCTCAGATCCTCTGTTTTTCTCCCCCTTCCAGATCCAGATTCGTCCTTCGAGCTCAGGCCTCAGGCGGGACCGGGGCTCTACCGCCAGCAAGAGTGCGGGCGGGGCGAGCGAGCATCACGGGCAAAGCTCCGCAGGCATCATGCGGGCGAACGGGCGGGGCAAGGCAGCGACGCCGATCGGGGCGGAACCCAGCGGAACGTCCATCTTCGATGATCCGGCGAGGCTCAAGCGGAACGGGCCCGATTTGGAGGTGGAGTCCACCGCTCGAGGAGGTGGCATGCGTCCGCGAGGACCTCACGGACGAGTGCGAGCCGCACGGCTCGCTGCTCCACCTGCAGCTGCCGGGGCCGTCGTCGTTCTTCACCGTGCAGGGCGTGCGCCCGGTGCGCCGAGGGATGTGGGGGAAAGGAGTGTGCGTGGGCACCTTCTGCTGCGCCGCTGACGGGCTCCCGCCACGCGAGCACGGCATGGCGTGCCTGGGCAACGTCGAGCTCGACCTGTCGGCGATGCCGACGCTGGAGCAGGCGCACGCGGTGATCCGGCACTACGGCCCCACGTTGTTCTTCCACCCCAAGGAGGTCTACCTGCCGTCGTCCGTCTCCTGGTTCTTCAAGAACGGAGCCGCACTGTACAAGCGAGGTGGAAACACCACGGGCGAGGAGATCGACGGCGAGGGGTCCAACCTTCCTGGCGGGGGTTGCAACGACGGGGAGTACTGGATCGACGTTCCCAGCGGCGAGCGGGGCCGCGCCGTGTGCCGCGGCAACATCGACAGCGCGGAGCTCTACGCGCATGTGAAGCCGGCGATGGGCGGCACGTGCACCGACGTGGCCATGTGGGTGTTCTGCCCGTTCAACGGCCCGGCGAGGCTCAAGCTGGGCCCGATCAGCCTCCCGCTGGCCAAGACCGGGCGGCACGTCGGGGACTGGGAGCACTTCACGTTCCGAGTCAGCAACCTCACCAGTGAGCTCATGGGCGTGTACTACTCGCAGCACAGCGGCGGGCACTGGGTGGACGCCTCCGCGCTGGAGTACATCGACGGCAACCGGCCCGTGGTGTACTCGTCCAGGAACGGGCATGCGAGCTACGCGTACCCTGGTGTGTACCTGCAGGGCTCGGCGGCGCTCGGGGTCGGCATCCGCAACGACGCCGCTCGGAGTAGTCTATTCGTGGACTCCAGCGCCAGGTACCGCATCGTTGCGGCGGACTGGCGGAGTATCTGGGCGAGGGCGCCGTTGCCGAGCCGCAGTGGCTGCAGTTCATGCGGGAGTGGGGTCCGACGGTGGTGTACAAGTCGAGGAAGCGGATGGAGTGGATGGTCGGGCGCCTACCTCCCCGGCTCAGGTGCAGAGCGGAGAGCATGCTGAACAAGATGCCCAACGAGCTGCCCAGGGAAGAAGGGCCGACCGGGCCCAAGGAGAAGAACAACTGGGAGGGAGACGAGAGATGGTAGGAACAATGCTCGACGATATGATGATATATGTTATGTGTGGCTTACATTGACGTGCTTCATCGTAGAACTGAGATGGCGGTGTTGTGCTCAAACTAACGAATCAGTCCTTGATTGCAATATAACTGTTGTGTCACCGGAATTTGTCCATTCAAATTGAGGTGAATAAAGTCCCCGTCCGAACTCTGGGAAAAACTGGGTAGACATAATTCTTTGATTGAATAACTTCAACACTATTTGTTGGTTTGCGTAAACGTTCAGTTTGCCGCAACAAAATATGACAAATGCCCACGTGTCTTACTCTGCCCTTGGTTGTAAAAAAGGATGTTCACAAAATGGGTCAGACAGAAAAATGACCCCCACCTTCCACTATCAATGTAGCTAACTATATGTAAAGATCATAACAACTGAACCTATAAAATAAAAGATTGCTGAGTAGAGTTTATGTCCTCTTGTCATCATCACTGCTCTCACTGCCATCACTGCAGGGGGAAACAGGAATAGAAAAATTGTAATCGTCGATCCAACTCGATGAAACATGACAGCATCGCAAGCATATACGATGTAGATGGTGGTAACAAGCTAATTACACATACCTCTCCTCGTTAAGCTTTGCAATTTTCTTCACTTCCAAGCCAGTCATGCCTAGGTACTTTTGCGCTGCTGTAACATTATCTGGCCCTGGAAATGGAGGCAGTAACGTTAAACAGTTCCCATCGGATAACCAAGAGCGCAGTATCTATCAAGTCGTGATGATCTTACGAAAGTTCGGCATAAAGCTCATTACAAAGAGAACAGCGCTTGATAAGGAATGATATGATATAGTAGCAGTAGGAAACAAAGAACAAGAAATGGAAGTACCTTTAGTCAACTGGAAAACATGAAGGGCGCAGCGTTCCGCTGCTAGGCGTACAGGCATGCTAGAGTCCTTCAAAGCATCAGCAATTGCCGGGCCCAATATAGAGTGATGTGTAGCAAGAGCTGAATGATTTATCTACAAGAAGGAACCATTAAATTACCACCATGTCACCAAGAATAAAGGTACCACGTACATTGAGATAAAGAGGCTCCAATGATAAACCTTTGCAGCAGCTTTGATACACGACAAAGATCTTCTCCTAACTTCACTTGAATCATCACGCAAGGCCAAGACAAGCAACTGAACAAGTTGCAAGGTGACGGCTTCTGACTGTAGCTCGAAACAGAGTATCCTTCCCAGAGTTCTTGTAGCAACTTCACGAACAGGGAACTTCACACAGCACAGACAAGAGTTACAGACACCACAATAATAATTACAAACAGCTGAGGCACACAACTTGATACAATCAATACCTTGTCGTCTTTAAGAGAATCTTTCAGAAGATCAACCAGAGATGGAAAGGATGCCAAATGACACAATTTTGATGGAGAATGCATTGATATGGACGAGAATGCTAACAAAGCACCATGCCTGGTACACCAGTCTGATGAGGTGCTCACGTTCAATAGGGTTTGCACCAAATCTGAAATCTCTGTCTCCTCCATGTACTGTAAAGAAAGCATGGATATTACAGTCAATAAATGCAACCAATTATAGTAAGAGACTAAGAAATGTGTGAAAGAGTGGGGCCTTGTTCACTTTGCAAATTTTTTGAACCCGATGAATAGTACAACTTTCGTCTTATTTGGCAAATATTGTCCAATCGTGGACCAACTAGGCTCAAAAGATTCATCTCGTGATTTCCAACTAAATTGTGTAATTAGTTATTTTTTTTACCTACATTTAATACTCCATGCAAGCGGCTAAAAATTGATGTGATGGAGAGAGAGTGAAAAAACTTGGAATTTGGATGGCATCTAAACAAGGCCTGGATCTTCCCAGATCAAACAAAGGCAAGTTCATCCATGAATGCACTGCCAAACATGATAGTTCCTCGAAAATGGTGCTCTTATTTTTTTTATCAACTTTACGCTCAACTGTTGCAGACTATCATGTATTATGCCAGTTTGTGTTAGTTCGCTGCATTACTCATCAGTCCTTGAATGAACAAAGAACAATAGTTAATCTGATGACTGATGAGCAATGCAGCGAAGCAACACAGGATGAAGAGTAGCCAAAAGAAGTCCAGAAATACATTGGACACAATTTTCAGACACTTGCAAACCATAGCCTGTGCATATGTTCTTGAATGCACATATTAGGGAAGCTTAGCTGTTGCCACTCCAACATTTCCTCTTACTTCAATAAAAAAACTCACAAAAGAGAATCAATTATCTCATTGCAATTGAAGTTCTCATTTGACAATCATTTTGCTCAAGTACAGTGTATCGAGTTTTATACTAAAAAATGTTGCCCTTTTCTTTGAGTTAGCAGAATGGAGTTCTTTTTGGTATATACGGCTCAAACACTAGTTAGACAAATAAGCAACATGATTTCTGATATCATCAAGCCTTTTACATCCAGAATTGACAAGGGATACAAAAGATGCAAGATTTATCGTTACCTGAGACAATGTGCCAATCACTTTTGCAGCACAACTGCGGACATCATCAGCTTGAGCCTGCAGCAGATCTTCAAGAAGAGCACATCCACGTGACCTTATTGCAGAGCTGACACTTTTGCCAGCATGTTTGATAACACCTTTAAGCGCAGAAAGCACACTTTCTTTGACAGATTCATCTCCTGACTGTATAAAAGAAAGAAAGAAAAATTAATTACTTTTGAACTTGCAGCAGCATCATTTCTCATATAAACAAAAGAACAGACAGAACATCCACGCAACCTGCAACATGGACAGAAGATCGCTAACTAAAGGATCCACCCGTGTGCTAAGAGCACTAAGCTTTCCGAGAGCAGCTGCAGCCCTCGTCCGGACAGACCTGCAATTCAAACATATTCACATGTGGAGGTAAAAGCATAACTGAAAAGGACAGAAAAAAGATAATACTGACCTATTGTTATCCTGTAGACATTTCACAAATGTAGTTTGAAGTTGTGGAAGGAAGGGCTTAAGTGCAATTCCACCTTTCAGGATGATGATTGTAAGGGTTGATAGGATAGCTGACTTAACTTGCCATGGAAACCGATCACCAAGGATGCGAATAAGAGGTCTACATACACATGAACACGAAAAAAATCTAGATTAGAGCTACAATGGCGGCATGGCATAGAGCAAAAAAACCATTGGTAAATACAAGGTCAGGCAATTTGACAGACTGTTTACTGTTTTATTCTCGGGAAGCTTCAGCTTCTCAAAAAGATTATCTCTACTGAGGAAGCAGTTTTTTTTTTTTTTTTGAAGGGGGTGTTCTAGTTGCTCAGAAGGTACAGAAGACAATACAGCAAAAGCTACAGCTTGGCAGCAATAATGTCATAATACCATTGTATGGATTGTCTCCTGATTTCCCCATGTATGAACATATGGTTTATGCCTTGTCCCACAGTCACCAGGGGATCAGGTAAAAATCGAACAAATTGTGAAGCATCAGATAGGTGGAGTGAAAGAAAATGAATATTTCAAAAACAAGAAATCATCAATAGGTGAACTGCATAAAGCACCAATAATTAACATATAACCAACATAGTATATGGGTGAATCGACTAGGCTTACTCATTCATTTTATGCCAACACGAAGATTTTAGGGCCTAGCTTTGAAAGAATATAAAATGCTAAGGAGCTGTTTGGCTGTCAGCTGGACATGTGGTGGGATGCCTCATGGTTGCAATGACATTGGGCTTCCCTCAAACAGCACAAATCCTCATATGTGAAACACTCAAAAGGACAATCACAAAACTGAAGCAATTTCAAGAAGACAAAAAACGTACCCTGTAATTGGCACTACAACTTCCTTAAGAGTCTTCTCGCTTGTTACGTCAATTAACTCTCCTAAACCTTCAGCTGCCTGCTCCTTTGTTTCAGCCGACCCACTAATTAAACCCTGGAGTTCAATACAAATGTGTCAGATGTCCTCACGCCTGAAATTAATCTTGTGCTGCACTTTCTTACACTCGAAATTTAAATATGCGTACACCATTATAAATGAAAATTCACAAATGAATACCTGCTGAAATATAGGAAGAAAAGGCTGCAGTGCTTTAGGAAGACATAAGCCAGGCACAAGAATAGGCACACCCTGAAAATAGAAACAGAAGTTTTAGTCTAGGACAGGAGCCACCTCAAATATTTCAGCTTAAAAATTAGTGGCAACTTTAGTAACAGCAACAACACATGCATAGCACAAATTTTAGTGGTTCAGTTCAAAGTAGAACCTTTCGCCTTCTACGCTCTTTATCTCTGGCCGTAGAGACAGCATCGCGCACTAGTTTTATATGCGTCGGGAGCTGTTCCTTTGGAACAGATGCAACAACTCTTGAAAATGCTTCTAAAGCAGCCTGTTCATCATCAGAAGTTGATTAAGTCTCAGAACTAGAAGTGGAACCATACTGCAGGGAAGGCAAGTACTCACTGATACAGTAGCCTTGTCTGTATCACTCAACAAAATTATCAGGGTTGACATCATATCAGAAGCCTCATCAGCCAAATATAATTTAGTGTTTTTAAAGAGGAAACCAATTAGATAGGCTGAACCCCGCCTCATTGATGCCTGCACACAAATAATACATTAAGAAACAAAAAAAAGGGTAAAAGCAAGGCCCAATATTATTCAAATTCCCAGTTTTTCTAAAAGAAAACTCAGGCCAAACAACCTGACTGTCATTGATTCCTCTTAGAAGCTCAGGTATCAAAGTTTCAACTCCTTCCTCATCAATAACCAACAGAACAGTTTCAGCAGCTTTCCTGGCTGAGTTTTGTACATCCTACAGATGAGAGAGAGAGAGAGAGAGAGAATGTAGGAACATCAGAATATACAGGCATTAGTAAGATGCCTAGATAGAAAATGTTGGTGTTTATAATGCAAAATGTTTCTGTTTAGCAT